ATTTTTTATTATTAAAGTGAAATTTAAAGTGGGACGTAATTACGCATACGTATACATTGTTTGTTTGTTACAAAGTTATTTTTCATCCGAATTTTTTCAAACTAATTGCAGGTAGTAAAAGTGTATCAGCTTGAAAAGACGCTCTCAAAAAGAAGGTGAAGAAATTACAGGGCGTCAAAAATGTAATAACGTAGCCGCATCATTTCTTGAAATGTAGTCGGAGCACTATGCAGATTATTATTATTATTAAAATTTGTCACTCATCAACAATATTTGGTCTGATCAATTTTTTAATAGGTTTATTGTTTCGGTAATACCGTCATGTTATGCCATTGATTGCGATAGGAGAAACAACGACTGAAGTGTCAGTTTAAAGCTAATGCTCTCTCTTGTTGTAGGTACTCATTCATTTTGTATGACGAGCTAGGTAAGAATATATTATGCCATCTAGATATATCTTAGCTAACATATTTTTTTTATTTATTCATGTGTTTATTTATTTATTGTATGCTCTTATTAAAGTTTTTTCACATCCAATTACCTTTTTATGAAAAAAACAATAGGTGTTCTCAGTATTATTATTCTTATCATTTGTAGTCCAGCACAAATAACATGTCAGGGGTGCTCTACCGATTTGCAAAGAAGTACATAATTCAACAACTGCCCACTAATTCAAATTTGTTCCAATTAAGCAAAGCCAAAACTGTGTAATGTTAGCCAAACAAATAAGCATGTAGTGTCAAACTGCGGTTCAACATTGGTTCAACATACCTATATAACAAAGTACTGGCGTTGATGATAGAGGAGTTGAGATTACAGGCCCTAACCAAATGACTGCTGCTTATTTGCGGATTTGGTTAGAAAGGCATCCGTCCAATGTCATGTCTATTCGGCACGCTACCTCCAGACATTGCCATTTTGCGGGGCAACAAGACTGAGGTACTGGAGCTGACGATATGCCATGAGACTAATCTACTTTCATCAAAACAATACAAATTCAAATGCATATCTAAATAATGAATACTTCGGCTGTTTTATAATAACTAACACGTTCGAGTTGTCGCCAATCGGTGTCTACGATAATTTTAATTTATCGCTATTTAAATTTTTATGACCAATTTCTTTTAACTTTAAACTAATAAACAGTGCTATTAGCCCGTCATACGCAATGTACTGTGACAGAAACATTGCTTAATGCTTTTTAAATATAACTCTTACGCCCTTGACACTGGTCATTGAGAATAAGGAAGGGCCGATCGTACTTTTGATTTGATTTTTTATTGTATTCTATTTTATTTATTGTTTTTAAAAACATTTTGTTACGATCTATTCTTATTATTTGATTTTGTTTTTCAAAAAATATTTTTCATCATTTTAAGTACGTAACCTTGCCATTAAGTCGGTGAAATTATCTTCATGGACTTTCTTTTTTTGGAACCACAACAAACTTGAAAATTAAAAAATATTATTGTAAAATATGTAATAATTTCAGTAATATATCTATTATTAGTAGCAGTATTATTTATTATTATTATTATTGAAAAGATTTAAAAGTCAATTGAATACATACCTCATTTTTGTGAAATGAAGAGGAATTCCTATTATGTATAATTAGCTAGTTGCACTCATTCATTCGTTCGTTCACTCTCTCACTCACTCACTCACTCACTCACTCACTCACTCACTCACTCACTCACTCACTCACTCACTCACTCACTCACTCACTCACTCACTCACTCACTCACTCACTCACTCACTCACTCACTCACTCACTCACTCACTCACTCACTCTTTCATTCACTTCCATCAGACATTCACTCATTCATTCGCTCACTCTTTCATTCACTTCCATCAGACATTCACTCATTCATTCGCTCACTCTTTCATTCACTTCCATCAGACATTCACTCATTCATTCGCTCGTTTATTTATTCATTCATCTAATTATTCACTAATTATTATTTAATACATTTATCAATTTATTCAATCATTTTATAATTGTTGTTGTCAGTGTTGTGCATTTTCCATCGTTTCAGCAGGATCAAGCCAATGACGATTTATTGTTATTGTTTACTGTTTTGCATGACGTCATTTTCGAAAGTAGAGCATAAATTGAGAAGATAACATTATGTCTATGTCTATGGGTTGGGTATACACCAGAGGTGGGCATACTTTTTGCTTCGAGGGCCGCATATGTACATTCATCGACCATCAACAGGGGATTTTTAGCATGTTCATCCTTACCATTATTATCATTATTTCATTTTATTATTTCGGCGAGTCCAGGGTTCAACCAGATCAGCAACATATCTTTGTAAAATTAGTAATATATTTAATTAATTGATTGAAATGATGATTGAAACATTGTTAATAATATACATGAATTTTTAGGCCATTAGGCCATCACGCCGCCCAAGTATTATTTTATCTTATTTTATTTTATTCGTTTGTGAAGTTTAAATTTGTAATGTTTTAAGTTTAATAAAAATATTTGATAGAAGGGGGTTTTGAATTGAAAATAATATATAAAACGTTCTGACTAATAACTAAATTATGATAATTTTACTAACCTAACGCTATCGAGCAAGAGACTGGCACGAAAAACAGTGATAAAAATAAAATAATATTATAAATAAAATAATATTGAAAACAAAATTAGTAATGTATTGTATCAGGTAACTGTTGGTAATATTGTAAATACAAAAACATTTGCATGTTTTTGGCAAAAATAAAGGATTGAAGTACATTAGAACTGTTTTGCATAAAAGAACATGTGCCTAAGTAGCGCAGTAGGTAGCGCGTCAGTCTCATAATCCAAATTGTGTTCGAGTTATCTGAAGGTCGTGAGTTCGATCCTCACCTTGGGCATGATAATTTTTTAATTATTTTTGGAAATATGAGTTTGTGGTGTATCTAGTTTTGTGTTGGTGTTATTTTATTGCGAATTCTTTTACATAATATCATTGCTTATACAAAATGTCCAAAATTCCATGCCAGCGTTCAAGAGCCAATTTGTAAAGTTAAATGAATGTGCGTATACTGTTTCCGTGACAAAATCACGAAAAATTTTAATGTTTGTAAAGCAGAATGACAAGAATAAACATTCAATTGACGAAACGTTAAAGAATTGACACTCTAGTCGATATTTTTGCCTTTTACTCAGCTGTAATATCTTGTCAAAAAATGGGATCTTGGATTAGCCGTAAATTGGTGTTTTGTCTTGGGCCCTATCAAGACTTATCCAGGCCCTGTACCCTTTCTTAAATGAAGATACCCAAACACTCAGCCGAAGATAAGTGGAATAATATTTATTGTCTTAAAATATAATGTTTTATCTGTTTCCACTTTCCAAGTTTCCATTAAGTCACGCTATGTTTGATTTCTCTCAGACAGTTTTTTAGCAAAGGGCAGGTAAGGTAATAGCAATTGGCTATAATGATGAAATATGTTTATGAATGATTTCTGCCAATTAAAGTTATATGAAATTTCACATCAAAATAACATTTTAAAACTTTTTACAAATTCCTTTAACTTTTTGTGTGACTCACAGTGAATTGCAAATAAATTTGCTGCTTTTTTTCATAGGGCTTTAGGAATGAAAATTGAATCTTGCTCGCCAGGCAGGTTAACATTTCAAATTCAGTTTTGTTCAACAGATAGAGACTAATTTTTATTGGCTGCTATCTTCATGTGTGATTTACTTTTTATTTCTATTTTCAACGTTTTTAAGCCAATAATATTAAAATTAATAAAAAACATTATAAGAATAATAAAAGAAATACCAAATACCAGAACGGAATAGGTAAAAACACACACATCACACGCACACAAACCCACACGCACACAAACAATGCAAAAGAAACAACCACAAATGAAGTTTTGGTATATGGGACTAAAACATTAAAAATCGGTTTCTATCCCTTCCTATAGATAAACTATTGTGTCAGTATAATGATATAAGGAGGAATGAAAATAAATATAATGCAGATTAATAAACTTGATATTACTATTATTTTAACAGTATTTTAATAATTCCAACAGGAATTATTAAAATTTTTCCTCATCACAATTTTAAAGTTCATTGCTATTTACATCCATCATTATGATGGCAGTGGTGAAATACCTACACGCCACTAGAAATATAAGAACGGTCCTTGCCGTGCAGAGGAGTAACATGAAGGCACTCGACTAAAAATAAAACATTAGCATTTCATATACTTTAGTAAGAAGCACCGCCAACCAACCAACAACAACAACCTGAAAATATCGATTTTCTTTGTTTAATAATCGCTTGCACACGTGTATTCTGTACATAAGTGTGTATGCGTAAGTGTACGTACGTTTGTACACTCTTGTATATATATATACATGTGTGTGTGTGTGCGTGTGTGTGTGGAGGCGTACACGTATGTTTGTACATTCGTGTGTTTGTCTCTGTACATTTGTGCGTACTCGTGCAACAGGTGTAAGCATATTTTGGCCGCTAGTGATTAATGATGACACGAATTATTATTGTTGTCGCTTCTATTAATATTCGTTGTTGATGTTATCGTTGTTGATGTTGTTGTTTTTGTTGACAGTGTGTACACCTGCTGTATGCGGTTGCAGTTGTGAGTTGTTGTGTGTCACGTGAGCGAGGCATCGTGCTTGCTTCATTCGTCGTTTTATTTACTTCAAAGTAAATGCGTTGAAAATTAATTTTTCAAGTGTACATGCAGACAAAATATCTGAAAGATGTACAATCATTGAATTTTTCATTGAATTTGTAATAGCTTTAAATACGTACCTTTGCATACACATAGAAATACCTGCATGTGTATGTGTACAGTATAGATGTATCATGTATCCAAGTTGTCAATATTGACAGCCCAGTTTGAACACGTTCTATTTATTTAAAATAGATAGCTAGAAGGATGGGATATTCAAGAATAAATAATAAAACATTTAAACTGAACAAAAATCATTGCGAAATTATATAAAATGTTAGTTGTCGCGCTGTCATGTTGAATAAATATAATGTCAACAAGAAGGCAACCTTTCAAATAAGCTCTGAAGTCGGAAGGAAATTTAAAAAGTTGCTGAGGGCTTTCGCAACGTCCCCTAGCCAGGCAGAACACGAGGTGGAGGTTGTTGAGGAGGAGGGGAGGTTTGTGGCCAACTTCGTCCCAACCGAAACAGGTTAGTTTGATGTTGACTCTATTCTGTTAACTTTTTTAAAGTTTTGTGAAATTTTATTAAATGTCTTGTCGTCGTCGTTGTTGTTGTTGTTAATTATTTGGTTATGTGGATATGACTGGAATGATGTTTGGTTGTTTAATAGATTGGTTGTTGTTGGTGATTTATATTTGTTGAAGTAAGGTTGTGTTCTATGTGTTATTTATAGATTCCTGTTTTGAATTGATTTTTAAATAATTTTTTTACCGACAATGGTCCAAAAAATATCACTGAGTTTATAAATGATATAACCAGTTGGTTCTTCCATATCTGGGAGGCTTTTGCACGTTAAAAGGATGATAAGAACAAAGCGACGACTGGAGTTTGTTGTGATGTAATACTGATGATCGTGATACAAATATGGTGCAGCGTTCTAGCTAAGTACCTATGGTATAGATGCAATATGATAAATTTACTCCTCCCCACACACAAGCAGTAATTAATTTCGTCTCTTTCTAGTATTGAAAGAGTTGATAAGATACAAAAACAGTACCGATGAAAAAAGGGCTACTTTACGTGATTACTTGATTGCATAATGTTGAAAATGACGACCATGACTAAGAAAAAAATAAATAAATAAATAAATAAACAAAAAAAAAGTAATAATACTGACATGGACAAAAATGTCAATGATTGTTGACTATGCTGACAGCAATAACAATGACATTTGGTGATGGTCATGAAGACACTAATAGGAAAAAGTCATCATGCACTTGAAACACGTGACAGCAAATCATCGTTACGTCACTTTTCGATTTGAAATGTGCTTGATTAGTGTAGCGGTTATAGGATGATAACACAACAACTTACAGGTATTTGGCAGATAGTGATAGAGGTGAATGGACGTCCGATCAAAGGCTGTCCTTTCAATGTCAAAGTTGACGAGGTCACCCAGGTGAAGGTCATCTTTAAGGATAGGAATGTGGTGGGCAGGCTGGTCGATTTCAAGGGTCAGTTGCTCAATCTTTAATTCGTTCGTTCGTTTGTTTGTTTGTTTGTTTGTCCTGTTTGTTTTTCTGTCTGTCTCTATGTTCGTCTGTTTGTTTGTTTGTTCATTCATTCACAAAACAAAATATTCTTAATATGCTATTTTATTTGTTAAGCGTAACGTCGTTTAATGTTGCTTTTATCTTCATCTTCCTCCATTTCTCTTGAAATTTTTTTGACGTTATCTCATCTTCAACTTCATCATTTCTTTATCTTCATGTTTTTTATCATCATTTTCATCTCCATCTTCTTCTTCATCATCATCTTCTTCATCATCCTCATCACCGCCACCAACATCAACGACGATCACAACTACCACCAACGCCACTGCTCACACAGTCGAAGTAGCAGGCTGTTCAGGCCACGACATCAACATCAGCATCTTTCACGATGACGTCATCGTTAATCCTCGCATCCAAAGATACTCAATAGATGAAGATACAGAGGTCTTCCATGTTGAATTTTCTCCAAACGGAAGTGGAATTCATCTGGTCAACGTTACTGTAGATGGGAAGAATGTGGAAGGTTCTAAACGAATGAGTCAAAGATAGATAGATAGATAAATATTAAATGAAAGAATAAATGATGAATGAATGAGTGAGCGGCTAAAATGAAAAAAAAGCCAGATGAATGAAAACTAATAATGATTAAATGCACGATTGGATAACTTTTGGATGAGTGAGAAGGCGTTAACACATCATTTGTCAATGGTCGGTTCATTCTGCTTCAGTTAATGAGGTTTTCTTCAGCTAGTTTGTGGTGACTTTGGTAAATTTACTTATTTATGTTTTTCTTCCCAATTTTGGAATTTTTGTCTTTGGATAAAAATGGTGATAATGCTATAAAAACAATGGGTGTATCGATGTGATGATATTCAACATTGCAGGCACTCCATTCGAGTTGATGGTGAACGACGCCGATGACGTCATTGTGACGGGGAGGGGTTTGTTGGAGGGATGGGTGGGTGAGGTGGTTGAGATTTTTATCGATGTTGGTCTCAACGGGGTGGCTCAGCAGTTGCGTGTCTTCGTTCAAGGTCAGGGTTATTTTTGTTGTTGTTGTTGATGATGATGTTGGTGATAATGATGTTGATGATGATGTTGGCGATGATGTTGTTCGTGATGATGATGTTGATGATGATGATGTTTGTGTGGTTGATGTTGATGATGATGATGTTGTTTGTGTGGTTGATGTTGTTGATGATGTTGTTGAAGATGATGATGATGATGATGATGATGATGTTTGTGTGGTTAATGATTTGTAGCTTTGTTTCATGTAAGTGTTGTAAGTATTATAAATATTTAGAAACTCAACTACAAATAAAATTTGTAGTTGAGTTTCATATATAAAGTTAATATTGCTGATATTTTTCATCTTCATGTTGTTTTGCTGGAAATTAGTGTTACCAATATTATTGCGTTATAAAATGTATTGCACTTTTTATTATTCCAATTGATTTCTGATGTTTAAAAGATGATGTAGGAAGGTTTTGGCAGAGTTTGTTGCTAGGAATGAATATTTAATGAGCTGCTCAAGCGTATGCTAGTGCCCATAAGATTGTGAATGCCGTGCTAAAGTGGTTTACTATGTATTTTTCAAATACTTTATCCTCTGCAACCAGCCTGGCCTCTTCTCTTCAGGCACCACACTCACACCCACCTCCAACGCATACAATGATACAATACATCTAAGGTGACACGGCTTGTGAATGTTTCATAATATGTTGAATTGTGGTTACTAAATTTCATGACTGTTAGATGGATATGTGTTGAACGAGGTAGCACAAATAGTAAGAGTGCCTGATTTGAGCGTTATTGCGTGTTGACCTAGTTCAAATACTACATGAACCAAATTCAGGCTGTGTGGTTGGTGCGATCTGTATGTGGATCGGTATGTAGGTCGTGTCATCGTGTGAAAGTTGCAAAGCTTTTGAAACAGAAGTTAACTTGCTCCTGAGTGAGTCAGCATCTGTCAAAGCCGCACAATAAAGAGAAAATTAAAGAGAAGGGTGGCGGGTTAACGATGGCAATGAATGTGACATAATGAGAACATTCATTGGAGAGAATTCAAAGATTGGGAGTGATTAACTGAACGACCGAAACGTTTAAAAAACAAACAAACAAACAATAAACAAACAAACATTAAACAAACAAACATCAAACAAACAAACATCAAACAAACAAACAAACATTAAATATTTTCTTCACTATAAAGATGCAGTTGGAGGGGGGCAGGTGGAGACGAAACTGCGGGACAACCGGAATGGGACGGTCACTTGCTCCTACCTGCCTGTCGACGAAGGTTTCAACTTCATTCATTCGTCGTTCATGTTTAACACCACACTTAGACCATATCAACGCATTCGACTGTTCGTGTTTTATCCAACTTGTCGCTACGTTTTGTATATTTTTGTTTTCGTTCTCCATCTGAGTTATGTTTGTCATGTTAGTTGTAACGTCTGATGACGGGTTGTGACAATTCTCCCGTGCAACTTTCGGACCATATAGGTACATCTGTAATCGAATCTTTTGTCCCTACGTGTTTGTGCCTGCATGTGATTGTTGGCTGATGTTGTGTGCAGTGCTGATGTCTGCCCAGGTACTTTTTCAGAAATTAGGATGCAAATGCATGCATACTTGAATCGGTAAGTTCTCTCCGTTCGTTCAAACACGTTCGTCTGTGTGTTTTGATGTTGAGGTTGAGGCTGAACGAACATCATATAACATGTTCACTGGCACTTGTTTGCGGTTGCATGAGAACTGTTTACAATGTTCGACTGAATGTTTTTGCTTGATTGGTAGATAGGATGCATGCGTGTGCATTCATAACAAACGCATTCATAAGTTAAGCACACCTGCTTAAATGTTTACATAACTATGTTTGCATAATGCATATTTCGTTCACAAACACACCACACACACACACACACACACACACACACACACACACACACACACATACACACATATAGACACACACATACTGACATTTTTCATTTTAACACCATATGTATATTGTTATTTTTTTCAAACCAATTAATTTCAGATATTCATTCATTTCTTATTGGTGATAAGGAGCATTATCAGTTCAGCTAGAAAACAATTTCATTTCATTATGAATCATATCACCATATCATTTGTGAAATTCTTCGCACATTGTTTTTGATTCACGCGGCTATTTCCTTTGAAGCCATTGAATGGGATTGACTCGCCAATCACAGGGGGGCCCGTGCAATTGTTAATAAGGCTGTTATAAGCGTTGTTTAGTTCAATTTCTGGTTAGTTCGTTTTTTTTATTGTTGATTACTGTTCATCAAAAAAGATGAACCATACCAAAACCACAGATACAGAAACTAGTCCTTATATTAGTAAGCTAAATCATTGTTCTCCTCCATTGATTTGCAGATCAGACAGCCATGTATTATTTTCCTCAACAATCAGCAGTTAATGCTAATTAGTTGCTCCATTCAAACATCACAACAGCTGAATGATTGTACATTTATCACTTGGCAAATAAAACTCCATAATGAAAAACTCGGCAGCAAAATTTGAGGGCATGAAAGTTGACAACTTAGCACGAGTCACCGTTAAAAATTTCAATTTTATTCTGGGTCAGCTGGACAGGAATTACTTTTTAGTATCTTCCATACAAAACTACTGTTGCAGCGTGATACTTTGTTGTGGGTCGTTGTTGTTGTTGTTTTGCTGTTGATGTAAAGTTCTATTTACTAGTGATGCCGACGACAATGATCATGATGATGATGACGACGGTACTGATAATGATACAATGATTAAAAAACAATGTAGATAAACAGAAAAACCTGCTACATCTGAATAATTCGATCGATATTTCGTCGTTGTCATCATCATCGCCATCACCTTATTCATCATCATCATCATCATCATCATCATCATCATCATCATCATCGACATCATCATCATCATCATCATCACTGCCACATAATCATCATCATCATCATCATCACTGTCACATAATCATCATCATCATCATCATCACTGTCACATAATCATCATCATCATCATCATCACTGCCACATCATCATCATCAACATCGTCATCTTCTTCAGCATCGCTGCCACATCATCATCATCATCCCCATCTATTTCAATTAACATCATTACCATTTTAAACCATCCTTCTAACTGCCATCATTGTCATCATCATCATCATCATCATCCTCATCATCATCATCGACATCATCATCATCATCATCATCATCATGTCCATTATCATCGACATCAGCATCGATGACGTCATCATCATTATCCTAGCCATTTTTTAATCACTTTTGAATGTCGCACAGGTAAGCACAGCGTCCACGTCATCTACTTCAACAAGGTCTACAAAACGTTCGTCACAGACGTCAGACGAAAATCTTCCTTTTTCTTGGAAAATACAACAACGCCAAAAACTGCAACAACAACAACAACAATAGCATCCACATCAGCAACAACATCAGCATCATCAGTTGCATCAACAACGACATCTAATAATTCTTCATTTAAAAACTATAGCTATAGCCAATTACGTAACCAGCAGTCAACGCAACAACAACATCAACAACAACATCAACATCAACAACATCAACATCAACAACAACAACATCATCAACATCAACATTGGACCAACACAACGACAAAAACTAAACTACTGGTGCTACTCAACAACGTATCATACACACACGTCGGTAGACTGTTCCATTTTGATGTTGCTTGCAACACTTCAGAAAACATCAACAACAATGCCAACAACAATGGCAACAACAACAACAACAGCATCAACAACAACAACATGCCATTTGTTACTAATATATCGTGTTAGTTTTATACTGGTTATTTTTCACGTTAACATGTAAATTTTCAATCCTCAAATCAATTTGATCAATTCATCTACTTGAATGATGATGGTGATGGCACATTTAGAATTTCTCATTTAATTGTTTCAAATTATTATTTCAGTTCAGTTAATTTCAATTAATTTTAATTAGTTTGTTCTCGACAAAAACTCAACTCAAAAAAATAAGATATGGAAGACCATACAAACAAAACAAATTATTAAAATAAAAATGCACTTTTCGTAAACAAACTTTTGAACAGTAACGGAAAGCGTGCTACTATCATCATCAACATCAGCAGCATCATCATCACCACAACTACCATCATCATCATCACCACCACTACCATCATCATCATCATCATCATCATCACTGTCGATGAACGTTCATCACGTGAGACCTGGATTGTACAGAGTCAATGTGGTGCCTAATCAGATAGGTTGTGATGATGATGATGATGGTGTTAGTAATGATGATGACGATGATGATGATGATGATGATGATTATGTGGAAGATGACGGGAGTGTGAAGATGGTTATGATGATGACGGTTATGATAATAATGATGATGATGTTTAATGGGCAGGAATGATGATGTTCATGATGATACAAGGTAATGAGGATGATGATGGTGGTGGTGGTAATGATGATAACGATGATGGTGATGGTGATGATGATGACTAGGATAGCAATGATGTTTCTTGTATGAACAAATTTTCATTGCCGCCAAATTTCCCATCATCTTCCGGGACCTTGTAATTAATATTTTTTCCTTCTCTCTATCACGCCTGCCCTTTTCTGATTGCTCCTGACCCCAGGAAAGTACAAGATCGAGGTCATGACGCCATCACGTGACGTCATTATAACACGTGACCTTTTTGTTTACAACGTGGCCGCCATTGTTGTCAGTCCAGTTTCTATGGCGACAGTTGGGGAGACTGTCAAAATGAGAGGTTTGTGGCTACTGTGGCTGTGGCTGTGGACGTTGTCGTCGTTGATGACGCAGTTGGTGATATTTTCGATGTTTGATTGTTTCTCTGTTTGGCTTGTTGGTGTGATTGTGTTTTTTTTCTATTTGATGGTTAAGTGGTAAGATAGTTGTTACAGCAGCAGAACTGATTAGATGGAAACAAATTGGTAGATGGCCGATCAGACCGATCGAAGTTTTCTTTTTGAATTTCCTCGACAAATCTAGTCAGTTTTACTTCTATCGAAAATGCAAAGTGTGTGAATTCAAAGTAGACCCATATGGATATCTGTAAATATAAAAAAATTTAACAACATGAACCGACATGTTCTCAGGAAACGTTTGAAACATCGTTCGTTTAGACACTCTCAAGTGAAGCTAGAACTTCTGAAGTTATTCAATGGAGACGCTTCACAAATCCTTAAATACAGATACAGAATATATAAGCGCCACTATTTTCAATGACAACTCTAACGACTTAAAGAAAATAATTTAATTCGTAATCAAAAAATAATCTCCTAATGATTACTCATTCATTATCGGAAATGAAATCTAAATGTTTATTTACAAAATAAACATATACATGACGTCATCCACATATTTTAGTTGACCTCAGCAAAGCGGGTCAAGGTCAGATGGAGGTAAAGGTCAACGGGGGCAAGGTGATGAACAGGGTGGAGAAGGTGGGGCATCACGTTTTTGTCGTGTCGTTCGTTCCAACGGAGGACGTCGTTCACGTGGTTGAGGTCAGGTTCAATGGGGAGAGTCTGCCACGTGAGTTGTTGTCATGATGACGTCATAATGACTTCACGATGATGTCACGATTTTATTGGTTGTGCGGTGATGTGATGGTGATATGATGTTGGGCGATGATATCTTTGCAGTGAGGGTAAATTTCAAAATGATGCACCGATAAAAATTGATAAAACTGGATATAATAACATGTGTGTAACGGTTGTGTGCCTTGTTGTTGTTATGAGTAAGTGGTATTTATCTGTTGGATGATGCTCTGCCTAAATCGTTATGTTAACTACAGGTTTGTGATCATGTGAGTCTGTAATCAAGTTTGTTTGCGATCATGTGATTTGTAATCATTTGGAATCATTTGAGTATTGACCACGTGATGATGGCTAAAGATTATTTAATGATGATAACGACTCGTAGATAAAAGTTGAAAAAACTTAAGGCGTAATAAACAATGGCATGATTGTACAGGAAAAATGCCTGTAGGCTAAAAAAAGATATAAAAATGTGTATAATAATACTACATAACTGTTGAAACTATCCAAGACTTGAACGTTCAACTCCAAAATAAAAAAATTTACATCAAGAAAAATAAATCTATCTTATAAATTAGAGTTAAGCCATGTCAAGAACAAAACACGCCAACTGCAAAATCAATATAGGTTTTTTTTTCTTTGCTTGTTTACCGTGTGAAATTGATAACTGATGGGCCGTATAACATGCTAGGCCGATAAATATTTATGTCGTTGTTGTTGTTTTTTGAGGCCAAGTTCCAGAGACATATATTTTGCAAACATTTTTTGGATCAATTCTTAGTGTTTTTTCATAGGTGTTTTTTAGGAGTGAACATAATCTTAAGTGAACTAATTCAAAAGTATTTTGGTTTAATTATGAATAAATGTATGTAAAGGTAACATAATGATACAAATGAATTATTTGCATTTATGGTAAAAAAATTCGTTTAAAAAATTGTTTAATTATTTGAAATTGTTTCATTCCCAACTGCCTCACAAGGACTCATTACGATCCCAGTAAACGCTCCCACCAACAACAACCGACCAATCAAATCTCAGGACACATCCAAACGAGAGACTTACATATCGACTTCAGCAAATCAGAGTTCAACTTTTAAAATAAAAAACTGGACAAATCTGAAAACCAACAAACTGACCGCTATTGTTCAGTGTTAGTTTGTTTGTTGTTTTGTTCGTTTGCTTGTTTGTTGGGATTGCGATGTTTTTCTAGATGTTGTTTGTAATGTTGGTCATTCTATCAAACAATATGCTTTATTTAAAAAGAAATTTTTTGAGATAGTTGAAAAGAGTAAAGGGCACTAGCAACTAGACAAGCAGTAGAGATACAGAAAAACATGGGAAACGTTAAGGAAATTGCTTTAGAGTGATATAAAATTGTTTGTTTAAAAAAAAACCTATGAATTAACAAGCAAATTAAGAGTGAGTAGGGTATTAAATGATGAAAAAACTTTTAATACCATTAAAATGAAAATAAAAATCTACGAAACTATAAAATTAGAAAAAATAATATATTTAGAAAAATGTTTTAAAAATAACAATAACGATAAAGCACAATTTTAATTTCATACTTGTTAGAATAATATAATTTAAAATAAAACTGGTTTTCTGGAAAAAGAACATAGAAGTATTTTAAGCCATCAGAACACTGAGAAATAGGAGGAAATTGTCAGAATCCATAAATGGACTACATTGAGAAAAAAAGGAGTCCCTCTGCATATCTGACTAATAAATCAATAGACTTTAATATGGCAGTTCAGATATTCAGAACACGAATGGAAGAGAATTAAAAAAACACTCTAACCATTTCCCTAAACTGATATAACAGCAAGAATTGAAAGAGTAAGAATTAATTAAGATTTAAAAGAGATTGAGTAAGAATTAAAAGAGTTAGAGTTAATTAAGATTTAAAAGAAATTAATTAAGAACTAAAAGATTGAGAATTAATTAAGATTTTTAACTATTACAAAAAATGCGATTTTTAAAACTTTATATAAAAAAATCAGTATTGACGAAAATGTATCTAAATGTTTTTAGGAGGTCATTCTGATTAGCAGAGAAAACCGTTCATGTTTGTGATGATTTTATTGCTCGTTATGGTTATATTAACAGTAATTGTTATTCTTTTTCGTTACTACACTAAGCAACACATGCAAGTATGGGTGAATTCACACATGCATGTATGAGTGAAATCCGGTTGTTGTTTCTTATTTGATTACTTATTGATTACTTATTGTTTGAGTCCATATTGTGTTTTTTTTTTAATTTTTATCGTGTTTTTCGGAAAATAATAACGTTTTCATTACCAATGTTGTTATTATTATTATTATTATTTGTTATTATTTTCATGCTGCATGCAGCTCCTTCCGGTGAAGTGGTTCCGTGCAAGTTGGTCCGACAACCTGATGATGACGTCAGCGTACATTTCAAAAGTCCTTACACTGGTGCCTATTTAATAATAATAAAAATAATAATAATATTACTAGTAGTAATAATAATAATAATAATAATAATAGTAATAATAATAATAATAATAATAATGAAGATGATGATGATGATGATGATGATGACGACGACGATGATAATAATGATAATAACAATAACAACAATAATAATAGGAAAACAAATTAATGATGTAATAGTAATAGCTCGCATTAGACCTTCAGTAAATGAACAAAATACAGAAAGGTTAAATTGAGCCAAAAACTGCTGTAATGTGTATAATAACTAATAACAATACAATGTCAAAATAAATTAATTAACACACCTCATGCACACACAAGCACAAAACACACGTACACACACATACATACGCGCACATGCGCTCACCCTACACTCACACTTGCATGATCATTTTCATGCGAAATATATGCAATAAAAATTTATTAACCAGTTTATAATTAACTCACCCTGACTAAGATCTACATACTTGAAATTATTAACAGATATTTTGGTTATAAATAAGTCTTTGTATTAAGTAGATTAGCAAGTAAAAAGCTCAGGTAATAAAAGTGTTGTGTTTCAGTTGACCAGTTAGTTCTGCCTGATTATATTTAAGAGAATTTATGTCAAAACTGCTTATTCATTATCGTTCTGGAACTTCATATCTTCGTCTACAACGTTTCATGCATTCTTTCATTCTTCCATTATATCACCTCTTATGAAGGCTACAAAATTAATTTCACTAAGCTCAAAATAATTAGTATAGTTATATAAGAGAAGTATTCTTTTTTATTTGGACGACGCGCTGCAGTTTGAGGTGCTTCTTACATTATCTGTTTACAGTTTATTTTATCTTACTGGTTATCTTAAATTGAAGGTAAATATTTGCACCTTTACAATAACTAGGTATAATTGCATATGGTTGTCTAATATTGATAGTGCTTCAAATACAATGCAATTAATCTATATAGTAACGAAAAGTTATTCTTGAATGCGTAAATTACATTCATTTAGCATAAATGTTTGAGAAATTATAATTTTAGCAATTACCAACATTCGAACCTGCTAAAATAAAAAGGAAGACGCATTAAGAACCAGTTTCTTGTATATTTCAATATGACTTTCTTCATCAGCAATAGTAGTATAAGATTGGTGCTAAGAGTAGAGCAGATGCGGTGGCTGATCCAGATCATGAAAGAAAAAATATAGAAATTTTGAAAACACAAAAAAGTGAATAAATGGAAATGTTATGGGAATTAGCAAAAAAAGCCCATCAATTTTGGAACCATCTAGCCACCATGAAAATCAGGATCCGAATAAGACTATATTTAATATTAACCAATTTGATTAAATGTATTTTACAACGGTTTGATTCTGTGAAAATTTAAGTAAATTTGGCTGATCACTTTTAGTTTAAAATTTTAAATAATATTGATGATCATCATCGGCATCACTTTCTTACCATCTCTAACTCTCCACAAAGGTAAGCACAAAGTAAACATTTACAACGACGACGTTCTCATGTCGGCACTATCTCCCTTCTATGTGGAAGTCTTCGATCCCTCACTTATCCGCATTATCTCTCCACACGATGCTGAAGTCAACACTATTGTGAGGATTGAAAGTTAGAATTTGTTATTTTTATTACTTCAATAATAATAATAATAATAATTATTATTATTATTATTACTGTGAATATTAGTATTAAACATCTCCATCTGGTTCACAGTCAGCACATTAGGAGCGGGCCAGGCCAATATGCAAACAAACATATTGGGGCCTTCCAACGAACAAGTGGGTCACGAAGTTCTTAAAACTTCTAATGGTTTCAGTGTGTTGTACACGCCCCATTGCACTGGTATTTTCCGAATTTTTGTCTACTATGGCGGCATATTAGTACCAGGTTAAATTTTTAAAATGTATTCATTTTGTATAAAGTACAATGTTGTTCTCTTAACGCTGTTAATTTTTTTGTCCGTTTGGTAGTTTTTTTGCCATGATTTTTGGTTTTTTTAGTGGGAATTAACGGAGAAATACTGGTGCAATAAAAATTATTGTTGACTGATGTTTATGGCAATGCAAGTTTCTTCAAATATTTTTTTTATTCTTCTTCGATTAAGATAATACGTTGTTCTTGGTTTCCTCACCAACCAAAAACTTACTCATTTCAAGTGAATTTTTCACTGTAGCCAGCAATCTACATCATAATCACCACCTCATTGACATGCTCAGGGTGCCCCATAAAACAGATGATAACGAACACTGACGACATCGAGACAAATGGAGATGGTTTAAAAGGAGGAATTGAGGGCCACTTGATGAAGTTCATGATCAACACGAAAGGTCACCCAGGACAATTGAAGGTCGTTGTTGAAGGTTAACTTAGCAAAAACATTAGTTGTTAATTTTGCTTGAAAATAGGTGTATGGAACAGTGGCGGATCTAGACAACTTTGACGGGGACCAAAATTTTGAAAATTTTTAATATTTTTGACGGAGGAGCTAAGATTTGTTGTAGTGTTGCCAAAATTAGACTGACAACCTTTTTTTGGTTATTCACATCTATCTTTGATTAGATTTTTACATTTAGCGGTGTTTTTACCGATTTTAATAACCACAGTGCTCATCACGGAGTCCCTAGATTCGCCACTGTGTGGAAATGCTGATTAACTTTTATACGTGATTGATTGTTATTTAAAATGTCATCTTCTATCATAGTTTAAAATGATCGAATTAGACAAATTATTATGTGAACGGATTGTAGGCTTTGTTTAATAAAAAAAAGTAGCATCTTCAAGTTTTTTAAACTAACAAAAAACTAACTTTTAATTATTAAAAATATAATCTTTTCATGAATTTTAATTAACCGAAAAGATAGTTTAATATTTAAAGGTGTCCGCCGTGACCAGTTTTTGATTTCAAAGGAATTCCCACCTATCATAAGCAATAAGTGTACAGTTTGATTCGTATGTATTAACCAGCATTTTGTGTGTGTGTTAAAATCCTCTGAGTAATGCAGCAAGAAAGTATGTTAAAAGCAGGTTAAAGAAATAAAATTAAAAAGTACAATAGGCAACATTAATATGCCAAATTTAGAGAAACACCTCAAACTGTATGACGTCGTCTCTTTGTAACAAAACTAACTAAAATATCTAAAATTTACTCACCGGAAAGTTTTAAATTAAATAAAACGTTTCGATCTATACGACAAATATGACAAACAAAATAATTAGCCAAAAAAACTTTAAATCTGGTGTAAGCGGGACGAAAAGACAAAAAAGTTTACAAAATCTTTGGAAAAATGTCATTATTATAAAATTACTATTTCGTAATTATTGAAGCCAGTTATTTTGTAACTTTTATATTGTTGTGGGGAAGACTAAAATAGTTTTTAGATCACATTGTTTGTTTTCAGGCCAAATTTTCACGAATTTTAATATAGCCTACGCCTCTGCCATGCTAGATTTTTTCAAATATTTTAAAGTTTAATATAGAAGTGTTCAAATAACTGGTAAAGAAGGCTTAATAGATAACATAAAATCGATAACCATTCAAATTAACTAACCGGTACGACTTATTATCTAAATTTGATACAACAAATACATTAAAAATTGCGATTAAGCAGACTCAGATTCACATGCAAGTAATCAACTAATAGATAAGTTTATTACGACAAATACAATTTTAAATGATCGTCTTCAACACAGTTACATCAGCAAACACAAACAAAAGGCCCAAACAGTTTGGCCAGGACTCAAATCTACGAAGAGTCAAAAAACCAGTACCTAGTCAATTTCACGCCAGAAGAAGTTGGATTTTTCAAGGTCAGTGTTCTCTGCAACAACAGCCACGTGACTGGTTAGTAAGCCAAACAGAAAATTTTAATTTTGTAAATCATTCAAATAAGAAATTGTTAATATAAACTAGGCAGTCCTTTCAAGGTGAACGTGTGGAACGCTGAAAAAGTGAAGGTTCACGGAGGGTGGCCCTTGCTGCTCTCAGACACGACCACCAGCCAGAGCAATCACGACGTCAGCAGCATCAACAACATATTCAAACACAGCAGCAACGACATTTCAAAGGACGACAACCTCTACTACAACGATAAAAAAGCCGGAGAGTTAGAACTGTTGAAAGATGAAATGAGAAGATTTGTGTTGAACGTCAATGAAGCTGGCTACGGTGAGTAATTGTGTTGTTTATGAGGATATTAATGATGATGATGTCATATAATGTAAAAATAACTCACTCTCATAAAAATTAAAGGCTTAATACATTAAATCTATATTAAAATTTGAAAGGTCGTTTAAAAGCGAATGTAAGAAACAAGCATGGAGAGGTCCCAGTGGAGATCGTGAAGGTGGGTGAGGGGTTGTTGCAAGTATCTTTCACGCCAAGAATTGAAGGTTTGTTTGTTCACGTAGACTGAGAGAATAAATAAATTTTAAACTAACCTGCCATCAATTCCGAATGTTTATTATTTTATTCTGGGATTTAGACGCTCGCGAATGTTTTCTCCTCATTGTTCTATCAATTTTTTATTGAATAAAAACTCGTCTGAAACAAGAACTGAGTCAAAATCCATTCATTAATTTGGCCAATAAGGACCTTACAAAATGGACATCACTTTCAACGACCAGCCAATCAAAGGATCGCCATTCCTTAGTCACTTACTACCACCTATCCGACCTAAGTCACCGGTGAAGCAACAACCAATCAAAAAAAAGCAGGTCATCAGGGTATCTGGGTCAGGTCTCACGGAAGCTGAAGTTGGCCAAGAAGCTTCATTCGACGTAGAGACTAATTATAAGACTGAAGGTTGGTTCTCATAGAAAATGTTTGAAATGATGTTCAGTGTTAAACTAAGTTTTTCCAAGTAATTAATAAGGCAACATGTTCTTCTCCAATTAATCATCAATAAAAATGATAATGAACAACTGCACAAACAAAAACAGGAGCCCCTACATTTCATTTGACGTCGTCGTCATCATTATCACCACCACCACTTCCGTCTGCCGAGGAATCATCATTATCATCGACATCGTCTTTTGTGCCCGTCAACTGCATTCGCATCAACGACTTCAAGTACAGATGCCACTACACCGCCCACTCGCCTGGTCAGTTCATGGTGATGACTCTTGTGGCCATGGTGATGACGCTGGTGACCGTAATAATGGTTATGTTGACAAAATGATCCCCCTGATAAGTTGATGGTTATGTTAAGAATATAGTTAGAAGTAAACGTGGATAATAATAACGAAACAGATGGAAAAAAATGGTCAAATTATAAAAGTAATTAGTTGATGACGAATACAGAAATAATGATGAAAATGAGATGATGGATAAATTTTAATATTGGTTAAAAAATATTTACTAATTTTTTGAACTAATTTTTTAAACTAATAGTTTCTTTCACTACACACTTGTACAGGCATTTATATGTTGCACATCTGGTTTGCTAACAATCTGGTGCCTGGCTGTCCTTACAAGGTTGTGGTTAGATCACGTGATGTGGGTGACTTCACAAAGGTCAAGGTCATTATTGAAGACACAAAGATGGCAATGGTAGGAGAAGATTTCAAGTCTACAATTGATACTAGAAAGGCAGGAAGAGGTGATAATAGTGATGATGATGCTAATAACAACGTTTATGAAAATGTTGAAGATGAAGATGATGATGATCATGATGATGACGATTTTTTTATATTTATAAATTTTGCAATCAATCAAAAACATGGAAATTCAACCATTCAATCAATCATTCTTCATCATTCAATAAAAACCCACAACCAGGAGAGCTGAAAGCCAGTTGCATAGGACCCAGCCTACCTGCGTGGTCTCGGCTGATCGACCACCTGGATGGGAAGTTCACATTGCTGGTGAGACCACGACAGGCCGGCAAGCACATTCTCAACATCTTCTACAATGGACTCCATGTTAGAGGTTACAGATTTTTTCAATTTTGAAAATTCACAGATACACTTGTTCACATAAAAAATACTATTTTAAAAGTTTTAAAATTTACAATTTTTATTATTTGAAACGATTAAAATTGCGAATTTGATAAACTACTGCACACAGGCAGTCCCTTCACGTTGACAGTATTAATTCCTGGAGATGCCTCGAAAGTTTCATTGAAAGGGCCTGGCTTGATGGGCGGAGTTCTAAACAGCCACGAGGCGTATTTCGTAGTTGACACATCAAGAGCCGGAGGAGGAGAACTGTCAATCAAAATTACTGGACCGAAAGGTTTGTTAGAAAAATTTTTCGTGCTTATAACGGATTAAAAAATTAATGTGGAGATATTTATTGCAGGTTTTATGATCAATAGCTTTTCCACCGAAATATGTCATCTTACGAATTTGTTCATTAAAAATTATTTAACAGGTGGATTTGAAACCGAAATGAGCAGAGAAAGAGAATCCGACAAACTGATAAAGTGTAGGTACATCACTAAAGAACCGGGTCGTTACGTCATCCACGTCACGTGGTCTGGCAAACATGTTCCTGGGAGTCCTTTTTCTGTCATTTGGGTGAAAGAGAAAAAGAAAAAGTGTGTTAGGATTGACTCGAAATGTTGAATAAAAATACAAATTGACCAGCAACATCTAACGAAACATCGCAACAACCTTTTTATTTCAGCTGCACATCGGCTAAAAATTGTCTAATAGTTCACTTAGATCCTCTACATTTAAATTCAATTTTAATTAAGGTGCAGAGAATTTTCTGGGCGTCTCCAGGCATTTTACGACTATAACAAATTGCATCACCACACAAAAACTGAAACATAGGGCTTCATTTTTTTAAATTTTATTGAGTCGTGTTTCTTATCTGTCATTTATGTAATCTTTTATAGATCTTTCAAAATATATTTTTGATTTTTGTTCTGTTTAAAATCTGGAAGTCTTATTTATATTATGTCACATTCTTAGAATGACAAAAAAATTTGTTTGTAGCTAAATACTCTGTATAACGCCGGTGTACATTCCTTCTACAAAAATTTGACTAAATCGAATTTATCAGTAATTATAAATGTTAATGAACAGAAACCATGGCTATTTACTTGTTAACTCATGCCTTTCAAATGTGATGAACTGTTTGTATAAGTTTAGAAACACATTTAAATTTTATTCGTCTGCCTTTCTTCGTTTTATTTGTAAATATTTGCAAATTTGGTAAAAAAAACTGCGTTTTGTTGCATTCACATTTAAGATAACTCAGCTAAATTTTCAATTCAGAACACCCCCATTAAAGTTTTTGTAACTAATTTTTGATTTAGTCGCATTATTTATATTTGTTACGTGTATTAACCATTGTTGCGTTACTGACGTTAAAGACTTGAAAAATAAATTAGCTATTTGATGAAACGAACGAGGAGACCACTGATTAAAAAGGTTTCATAATTTACCAGTTAAAATGTTTATCAAAATATATCTGTTAAATAATGTCAAGCTAAAATTTGAAAATTTAACTTTTTGGAATATTATATTTTGCATATACAACATAAGCTTAATCAAATCACTTCAGCTGCTTTTGCTTTGCCTAATTAAATGTTCACGACAATTTATAGACCGAGAGAATTAGTTTTTCGTAACGGTAAAAGTTTGCAACGTAAGCACAGTCACAAGCGTAGAAAATAAAACTCATGTGTTCAGGTATATGCAAGAGCAAGTTAGTGAATATTATATTTGTTAGTCGATTTAGTTTGTGGTATAAATAATGCGTATGTATGTGAGTGCGTGCTATAGCAATCGGCAATGGAGGCTGTAATTTGAAGGAACCAACTGCTTGTTAACAAAATATTTTTTAGAAAAATAACCAATCTTATTAAACATGCCTGAGTTAGTTCGCTTAAATAGATCAAAAGTATATCAAAACCCGTTATAGAACTGTGGGCCCACGGACAATGAGAGTCGCGCTTGTTTCTTTCACATTCAAAAACTTCAAAATAACTAAAAACTTGTTATCTCATAACTTAGTTTTACTTTTTTTAAAGTTATTGAGTAAAATGATCAAGAAATAGAATGTACTAATGAAGGTACCTACTGATTTTTAATTGTACAGTATTTGAAATTACGCACAGAATGCATATCAGTTAATTCTTACTGAAATTTTTGTGATTGATGATTTTTGTGAAAGGCAAATTTATCATTTTTAATTCATTTCTATAACTTTTCTATAATTAAAATTGTTCAAAATATATAACTATTTTCAATCAAAACAAAATAGTCTTATATAATGTATTCTAGCTTTTTCAATGTTTGTAGCTCCGTCTGCCTGCCTGCCTGCCTTCAATCCGACCAGTGGCGGATCTAAGAAGCCCGTTGTGAGCAGCATATTCAATAAAAGTCAATAAAACTCTTTGTTATTAATAACCGATGAAGCACCGTTTTTATGTAAAAAATTGACAGAAAATTGAAAAATAGACGTAATAAGCAAATAAACGTTGTCAGCCACACTGCCACAAACGTTGGCCCCCTCGTCAATATTTTGCCCCCTCCGTCAAAGTTGTCTAGATCCACCACTGAATCCGACATCAGAGAAACGTGTAGCACCACAAATCTTTCACCAAAAAAAAAATTATTTTTAACATATTCCAGTGAGTTTAATAACTTAAAAGCTATTTAAACTGCCTCATTTGAAGCGCTGAAATGGAATGTAAGAACTAGAGGAATGACTTTGACTAGAAAAAGTACTTTGCATAAAAAGAATTAATACAAAAACGCAGGCAACTGATGATGCAGGCTAGATGAACTTTTAAAGTACAACAAATGCCCGCACGTTCTCCTTCTTAGGTTGTCGTGTTGTTACTTTTTGTCATCATGTTAGCAGTTTATTTTCGTAAGCGGTTTCGATGAGTTTTTTTTACTTCTTTATCTCTTTAACCTTCTCTCAACTTCACTAATCAACTCGAATTTCATTTGCATTTTGTGAGGCATTAATATTAATATATTTTTTATTATATATTATATTGTATGTTTGTAAAGTTTTGCCCCTTAACTAGTAATTTATTTAATTTTAATCTGTTAGTGAAATAGTTAGTGAATTTTAATATATATAGTGAATGAATTAATTTATTGATAGTTAATTAGTGAATGAAGTTGTAATTCTTGTTTTAAGCTACTAATCTAATGTCTAATCTATCTATTCTATTATAATTAGTCACAAAATAGTTTTTATTAGTGACTATTTTTTAATATTAAAATTTTATTTAATGCATTAATTAACTAATGAAATTTGATAATATTATTATTATAATTATATATGATCATAATCAAATCATATAAATAATAAACTATAAGATAAGTTGTATTGTATTGTAATTAAATTAACTTCACTACTAGTACTAACAGACTAGAAGTAGTAGCTGTTAGCAATAATTAATAATAATACCAGTATTAAAAATTAAAATTAATGGTTCTGTAATTTTGTTAGTTTGTCAATTCACAACTTCACGTTGATTAGTAATTTTAGTAAATTAAATAGCAACCATCGTTAATGAAATCTGAAATGACCAATGAATCGCTACCAGAGAAGCGAGAGGGCAGTGCTCATGTGCTTCCAAAAAGTATGGGGGGAGGTCCCATGGGATTGGGTAAGTTATATTAAATTAATATTAAATGGTTTATCAATTTTACAATAACAAATATTTTTGTTCAATTATTTCATAATTTGTCTTTTTCTTCATCTATATATGTATATGGTGTACTGTACACATTATCTACTATGAAGTTACACATGTTTAGTAATTACTACAGAAAAATTTACATTATACTTGTTTAGAAAATATGATTTTTAAATTAAATTAAATATTAAGATGCATGTTTAATGAAATTTAACTGTTATAAGCAGGCAGATGGTAGTATTCTTCTTCCGTGGAAATGATCTTAGTTATCTTATATAAAAAATAACTTAAATGTCTTAAATGCTAAGTTATGAGTTCACATATATTTCTTCATTTAAAAATGATCAGAACTTGCTTGCTAGTCAACTACATAATGAACTTTTATAAAAAGCATTTAAATAAAAAAAAACACTAATGAAAATATTTTCATTAACCTCCATCACATTTGAACAAATTTGGAGACACTTTTTTAAACAATTGCTATAATTAAGCCTCCTACCATCAGGTGAATTCTTTTTTCATAATTTCAATTGAAATAATTTCTTAGGAGACCCTGACGATCGATCGTTGAGAAGAGTCGAAGTGGATGTTGTCATTCCAAAGATGATGAAAGATGAAGTCAAGAAGTTCTGTGACGTGGAAGTTAAAGGTTTATTCTCTTCTTTATTAGGCATAATTTTTCTTGAATTTGTCATTTTTTGTTTATAATAGAGTTTAAAATCATTAAATTGTAAAAGGCTTTCAATGTTTCACGTCTTTAAATACAATGCCAGCATTATTTCTGGTGTAAATAACAACCTTTTTTTATTTTTATTTTGCAATAAATAAAAAAAATTTACTTCTAATTCATTAGTTTAGTAAGGAATTATCACAATATTATCAAGTAATTTTAGAGTTTGATTTGAAACTTTAGAAGTTTGACAGAGATTGCTAAGAAACATTGAATGTTTTTGCAGCCTTCGTGGACTGCAGCAAACAGTACGGACTCCTCCTACCTCTCATGTGCAGGCAGCAGAATAAGGAAATGCAAAAATGCACCATGAAGTGGTAATCACTTACTTAGAAATTTTTTCGTTTATCCTAAAGTTTTTAGTTCATTTAGTTTTGTTTCAGTTAGGCCTTTTTCCAAAAATTTTACAGTTATTTTTTCATGGCATGGTATGTTACCGTTTATAACTCTTCCAATTCGATCATCATGTTCATGTTCTATTTTATTTTGAATTTCTGCTGAGAATAACTTTTCAAAGTGTCAACATTTTTGAAGATAATTTTGTAGCTTCTTGTTGATAGATAAAAGATGGATGATGTTCCTCTCATCTTTAAATAAGGTACCAGGACGAAGAGTACAGGAAGGTGGTGACGGAGAGGTACCTACAAGAAAGGTCAGAGTTCAGGAGGACTGGTGTGCCTGTTCACAAGTACGAAAGAGGTCACTCGGGCCACTGAATAAATATACCTGTAGCTGTTTATTCACGTCTCTGTATTTTTGTTTGCATTTGTTTGTATGTGTTTGTATAGGTTTGTTTGTTTGTTTGTGTGCGTTTGTATCGGTTTGTTTGTTTGTGTGCGTTTGTATCGGTTTGTTTGTTTGTGTGTCGATATTTGTTTGCGGTGTTGTGTATGCTTATTTCAAAGGTTGATGATGTTACAAAGCCTTGCTTTATGTGACGTCAAGTAACAATGTTGCATACATAGTGTGTCGTCTTACTTGAATGTAATTTTTCATCGTAATGAATTGTAGGTTTACGTTTTCACCCAATTATGTTGTGATTCGTAATTAAATGTTTGTCATGATATTTAGTGTTGTAATTATTAATACATATTCATTGCTCTTCTTTTCAAATGCACATCTTCAATTAGCCTTTAAATACTTCTATAAAATCGGCCGGCAAATGTAAATATGAACAACACACGCCTCACAAACAAGTAAAGTTCATTGATTTAAAACTGGAAAGACAATTATTTCCAATTTAATATTCATCCAGAACTCTGTTATTTCCGTTTTGACGATTATTCAAATATTATTAATAAATCATCCATTTAGTTATGACATGTAGTTGAATGCTGTTTGCATATTCATTATTAAATTGTTATTATTTTTATCATTTCAAGTAATTGTATTATTATTATTAATTTTATTGTTATTATTATTGCTATTATTATTATCAGTATTTGTGTTGTTATAACCAGACGCGATGGTGGGGGGTGGTTTGGGGTTGAAGCCCTCCACCGCAATGGAAAGTTTTGAAGGGTTAAGGCAAATTTTAATGAAAATTCTATTTAACTTTGGAAAGTTCAAACCGGAAACTATCTCAACTCCCCTGACAACGGTTAAATAAGTAAAATTTTGTACTCGGACCATTGGTCTTAGTAGCTAAATTGTTTGAAAATTGTGTGATAGTCACTAATTAATAAACCCACCGCGACAAATTTTCGGCCACCTCACTGATTCTCATTATTATTATTGTTGTTGTTGTTGTTATTGTTGTTGTTATTGTTATTGCTGTTGTTATTATCATTGTTGTTGTTATTATTATTATTTGTCTTTGGTGCGTCGTCAATAATCAAACGTTTTTTTCCTTGTCTAAAAAATATTAGAATGCAATCATAATTTATAATTAATAAATGTCATCATCATCGTTTTTTGTTAGCAATAAATAAACAAATAGATATAAATTAATGAATAAATAAGTAAATTGTTAGAAATTCAACTGAATTAATGGACAGTCTGTGTTATGATAAAACAAGTAGGAATTCATTTTCAATTAATCAAATCAAAATTAATCTATTAGTCAATTAGTAGGTAATTTCGTAAGTAGCAATTCATAATTAGTGAAGTGGAACTAATTAATTAGTAACGTGAGAAATTAATTGGTTAACAAATCAATGAAATGTGATTAATTTTAAATAAATTCTTTAAACGAATTGTGGTTACTAAATAAAATGAATTAGTAAGAAAATCTTAATTAACGCCGCAATTCAGAAACAATGCTTTGCCCATATGAAAAAATGCACCGAACGTGACTATAATATAATTATAATAATTAATTAGTTATAATCATAATAGTGACAGTTGCCGATGAATATCTTAATGACAAACTTGTGATCATGTACGTGAGAGCAATTAATTATTAAATTAATTAGCTAATTGATTAATTAGCTAACTGATTAATTAGCTAATTGATTAACATCTCGTTAAAAGTATGACAACGCGTTTGTCGTCACGCAACAATTATACAATATTGGCACCATTTCTTCAGTTGACGAGAAAAATAAATAATAAAAAAAGGCAATCAGGAAATTAATTTCAAGAAAATGAATTCAAATTTAAAAGTGGAGCTGTGAGGTGTGCTAAGTGTTGTGGTTGTTTTTGTTGTTAGCAAAAATGTTATTGACAATAATAATAATAACTAGTAGTGATAACAAGATTACAATAACAAGATATAAAGTTATACCATTAGTTAATATACCTAAGTTTAATTGCAGTGGAAATTGTTACGTGAATTAATTTCATCATGAGAAATATGCAATTGAGAGAGTGAATTTGATTCAAACATTTTTAGTCATTATAATGATTAATTGTAGAAATCATTCTGACGAAAAATCAAATTATAAAATCGGATAACAATGTGCTTTGAAGAGTGGAGATTTATTTTGTGATAATCAATTTTTTAAATCTTAGACTTTAATGCTCGTGCAATACAATTCTAATATTAATTAATTAATTAATTAATCACGCAATCAATTGTGCCAATTAACTTTGAAAATAATGTCTGGAAGAATTAATTTAATTTAATTTAAAGTTTCGTCAGAACGTAAACGATGATAAATAATCGGAAAAAACAGTTTAAGTTAACAAATAAATAAACAGGATAATGCGAAGTTATAATCGGAAAAAATTATTACGATGTGATTAACATAATTAAATAATTAATTGATTAAGTGGTTGTTTAATGGTTAATTTTCATAAACAGAGTCACGGATCTGAATAAATGAAGCATCGTCATACGTAAGCAGAAAGCGTTTGATTAATATTTTTGGATATATATATATATATATATATATATATATATATATAATTATACGCTTTTAAATATTTTCGTATTCATCATATATGTAGGTTTATATATAATATATATATAAATATGACATAATTTATGTATGTACAAACATTGTGACTAGTACTCTATATGTTTTTCATGCATGCAAATATTATATATGTATCTATATACAAAATGATAAGCTAATGGTTAATGTTATACATAAGAATAGGTGTGCATGTACATAAAAAATGGTGTAAATTTATATTCATATAATGTATTTGTATATAAGTATAAATATTTTATTCATTCATCAAATTTATATTCATCATGGAAAGTCTCTTGCTATTAAAGTTATAAAAATATATTGTGTGAGAAAATAATATTGTTGATTAAGATAGTAGTGTAAACAAATAAGCTTTCTTTTATATCCAATAAAAATCCATAAAAAATATATTGTAATAATTTGTATGGGATGAAAATAAATGTAGACAATTGTAGTTCATAGAAATAGTTAATTTATTTATATAAGCATTGTCACGTTACATGTTATAAAACTAAACGCAGGTTAACAATGTTAGTTTATAATAATATATAATGTTAAATTAGTTAATTTCCATGCATAAATTAATTTTAACAAATGTATAAATTAGCTAAATTTCAACGCAATCATCCATGTTAACCTCTAATAAGCCTCAGTACTTAAGTTGGAAACCATATTAATATTAATGAAATACGTTTTATTCGCTTATTTTTATGGAAACTTTCCCACTACATTCTTTTCTTTCACGGTTCAATGTGCATGAAAGTAACAAAATATAAAATAAACAAAATAAAAATGGCTGACACCCAAACACCCAACGCCATTTTAGTTCGTTTACGTGATTCAAAATTTTATTTATGAAGGTGAATTTCTCTGAGAATCGACAGAAAAATTCGTCCTTGCCAAAGTGAAACAAAATTATAAAGTTAAACTAAAAACTAAAGGAATGCATAGAAGGGTTTTTATTGTTTTTAAACAAAGTACAAACACTGTTGTCATGGCAACGAAACAAATACAAATATAACTAATATTGCCCTTCTTCGTCATAGTTAACCCTCGTATGCTCAATGTTTCTCAAAGTTATCGCTCGTTGCTTATCATGGCTGCCGTTGCTGGGGGATTTTGTGACGTTAAGTAGTTTTGTTGTTTGTTAATTGTTTGCGTCCAGTTGTCTACTGACTAGAAAGAAGGTTCCTAATTGTTACGTTACAACATGGGTAGTGGTTGTCGCAGTTACAATGATGAGAAGATTTGTAAGTTGAGGTCATATGATGTCACATTATATGTGATGTCATGTTATATGGTTTTTAATGTAATGTAATGTTATGCCATGCGATATGGCGTTATTTTTGCTTCAGTGTTACTGGTTCCCTAACTCAACCTTTTCGGCAATCATGGTTTGGTTAATTTTTTGAAATCCGCATTGCCATTCTGATATATGTGAGTAGTTTGATTTGAGTTATTTGAAATTTGTGCTTAAGACAGTTAGTATAGTTAGCGATGAGATCTGATAATCCAACAAAATAAAATAAATAAGTCGTCTAATAAAAGCGAATATTTTTAATTAAATTAATAAATAAAATAAATATATGTTAACCAGTAAGTATATAGTAAAATGTTTACAAAATATATATATAATATAATATATAGCGAATTAGCAAGGTGGTTATAAATATTAACAGCGTGTATAAAAATAAATAATCATCATCAGCACCATCGTCAACATCATCATCAACAACAATCGTATCAATATCATCAAAACCAGTTATATTGAGATTGTAGCATTACTCTATGTACAAATTCCAAACACGCAAATGTATTGAATGTGTTAAGACAATCTTTCCAATTGTCCGTGTCCTTGGTGCATGTATGTACAAAAGGAGACACGTCTCTTTCTCTCTCCTTAAACACAACAGATCATTAACTGAATTATTTATTTATTTATTGAAGCTTTGCAATTGTGATTTCTTTCTGGCGAAAAGCATTTTGACATTCTTACATAAATTTAGTAACAGAAATATTGTGTTTATCTGTATGAGTTAAAGTTTTATTTAGTTCTATTCAATGTTCTTGTTTTATTGATATAGCTACCAATGCTAATTCAATGCATTGTATCTTATTGTTGTTGTATGTATTTTAGTGTTAATGTGTTGCTGTATATCATTGTTGTTTTTGTACTTCATTGTTGTCTGTTGTTGAGGTCTTTGGGTCTTTTCAGCTGCACTTTCAGTCTTTTCATGCCAATTTGGAAGCCATTCATGGCTTGGATTGCATTTTGAGCGCTCACCTGATTGTCATAGCTTACAAATCCTGTCGGTTAAAATGAAACAGTTTTTATTTATTGTATTTCAGTCGATTTTTTGGTGTTACAGTTAACTTACTGAAAGCTTTTTAATAAATATCAAGTTATTGAAACACTTCGTAGCATTCTTTAAAAACTCTGTTTATCGTTACGTCCTACCCTCATTACAGAATTTAGATATTAAATAGGTTGTCATAATTTACTTCTACTCATACCAAATTTGGTGATGTAAGTACGTTGCAAATGTTGGGATAAAAATACAAATGACATAAAAATGGGACGTTTGGGTTGATGCGAAGGTTACTAACTAACCAAAACATTTGCTCTGGTTGGTGGCCCTATCAATGTAGACTTTTGAACTGATAACATTGCCGAAGCCCATGAACATTTGAGCGAGGTCGTGATCACCAAATTCTTGGGGCAGGTGGTATATGAACAGGTTGCAACCCTCTGGACCTGGATAGATTCAACATAATTTATTTCCATAAGATGCGCACACTTGAAATGTTTCGGCTGAATTCTGCGTTACATCATGAACGTTTTTTTTCATAGTATTGATATTAAATGATACCATACCTTCTTTCTGAGCAGTTGGAAGCATTGATGTTGTGTGATGTGTTAACTGAAAATGAGCTATGTTGGCAGGATAAGCTGAAAATGATTTTTTTTCAACGATTATAAAAATATTTCCAGTAACATTTCTATGAAATAAATAATTTAGACTATAATAAAAATACTCGAGTAACATATTAAACTTAATCTTTGGTATCGAATAATAAATTATTAATAATTACAATTAATAATTACTTATAATTTTTCCTTCTTTGGATATTATTGGTGCACCAGTGTAGTCGGCCTCGACATTGTTCCACGGATCAAACGCTATTGGACACAAATCAACCATGATTGGCACTGTTTGAGAGGAAGTTTTTTTTTTATATTAGATTATGCGATTGCCATCACGTCGACGAATGTTGAAATGAAAAATATAACATTTGTTTTTCATTATATAAAAAGAGCAACTGAGCTCTCAGAGGAAAGGTGTCACTGACCTAAATTGCTGTATGGTGTGAGACCAGGGAAAGCAGCTGGGTCAGTCACGAATGTTTGACCTGGTTTTATTTGAAATTATTTATTTGAAATAATGTTGTTTAAAATATTTCTCAATAATTCGAAGTTACCGGAAAAGTATATTTTGGTATAATCATAAATAATTTCTCTTGATATGTGGAGGATGAGTGATGACGTCTTTTATAATACACAAATTTTTACATTTTAATCCTGATGCATAACTTCTAGAAACAATATAAAGAGTAGATAATTAGTTTTCATGAAACAAAGTTATTAAGTTGTGTTTTTTATATATGAAAACATACACGTTATACCTAAATAGTTAGAGACAACTTGAGGTTGCTGTTGATGTTGTGGCTGCTGATCAGGTGAACCTAAAAGAAATTTTTAAATTTTGTTCGTAAAATTTGTTTGCGTGCGAACCATAGGAAATGTTTATAAAATGTTGTTTATAAAAAAAAGTATTTAATACAAGTTTGTTTATAATTTTCAAACATTTGTTAGGGTGTATATGTTTTATACAAAAACGTAAAGCAATAAAAAAATTTATGGTATTTTTGGCTAATATTTTATTGAATAATATTTGAAGCATAAAATAACAATAAAAAGATAAAACCCATAAAAGGAACTGAGAAGAATTTCTTTTCTGACACGAATTTGCATAACTTGACATATAAAACATAAATGAATGAAGAATTGCAAACGTGTGTCTTTGCATGCAAAAAGGCCAGAAAATTTTGAAAAGAAAGCATTGTACTAATGGGATGAACATCACATAGAGAAACTAAGTCTTTACATTTTTCAAGCACACAACTACCTGAATTATGGTTAGCACTGGAGAAATTGAAATTGTTGCTATTGTTGTTGTTGCCGCTGCTGTTGTTGTTGCTGGCGTTGATGTTGTGGGCGGTGCTCAGAGTGCTGACGTTGCTGTGAAGACTTGTTATGATTGGTTGTGGCATGGGCGGACTGATGATGGGGGAGATGAATGTTCCGTTGGCGAGAGGCTGACCAGGAGGGAGTATCTGTTGGGGGGTTTGTGGTGGTTGGAAAATCAATATATTTGTGCTGTCTACGTATGACCATTCTCACTCAAACAGTTTCACGTTCAAGCAGTTCATTAAAAATTTTTAAACGAAATAAATTGCTTTTGAAACACATCCCATCTATAAAATATTTAATCTGTGAGATATTTTATCTGATTTTCAACGATTAAAAGTGCCGTAAAGTCGCCATGAAACGCGTCGTAAAAAATTTTAAAGAAAGCCTTCTCTTCCCAATCGGCATCTGCCTGATGTACCTTCCGCTTTATATCTGCCTTCTATTTATCTTTCTGGAATTTGGGAATAATTCGATATTTTGTCGAATGTACTTCTAAGAGGAATTATTATTTTTGGAAAGAATTCTTAGCTAAATTTTTTTTAATGTTTAAACGAAATGTTTACCAAACAGTTTATTTTAATTTGTATATGGCATTCCTAACTGGATGAAAACTTTCGCGAGCTAAAAATGTTGACAGACGTACTTTTCGTTATCTATATACTTAATTAAAATCCTTTTTAAATGAGGAATCAGAAATTTTTATTATTCATTCCAGAAGATAGATCCATTCTTTTGTTGATGTATATGTGTGTACTGTACGTGTTTATATTGATTCTGCAATGCACGTGCCAATAAAGACAATGCAGTGCTTGGCCCAATATTGATCCCATTCACAGCATGAAGTGTTGTACGATTGATATATCGATCCTCATGGTCGCGTGGAAATGAATGATACTAATAGGATATCCAATAGGATACTTGGATACTATCATTCCAAGTATCCTATTGGAAGATATATCGATGATACACGGCGTCTGCCTTGAGTACTAACACATCACCTCATGTACGAATCATTTTTTATTACAAACATTTGTTTTTTGTTAACACAACAAATAACATTTCTACTATATTTTAAATTTTTTAAAGTTATCTTTTTAAATTTTTGTCATTTTGCAAACTGGAACAAAATTTAGCGAGTTTGAAAAATACTTTTAGCCCAATGTGTAACTGCTTCTATGTTGTAACTTTATTTAATCTATTCGCATCTGGTATGCAATACAAACTTTTTTTTTGCCAAATTTAAGAAAACTTAATAAAGTTGTATGTGCGTGCGTAAGTATCGGCATGAAGTGAAGAATCATGTAAGCTCTCATGCCTTTGAACAAGAATACTTTTTTTTAATTTACATTACAGGCGGTTGTCTTGTCTTCAAATCGAGAATACAATTGGTGGAAACTTTTATTCGTCTCTTCTAGAAAATTCATTTTTTTCCCATTTTTACGGTTTTTTACATAAAAAAGTAAATTTAAATGTTAAACATAGCTGAAACAATTTGAAATAAAATAAAATTTGGCTGCCAGCGGATAGCATTCATATAGCACATCAAAGTGTAGAACAAAAATAGCAGTTTCCCGATCAGTTGTGAAAAAAATTTGCAAACGTTTTGCAAAATATTTAGCATTTAATAGAAACGGAACATATTTTTAAAACATTTTTTAAACTTGATCTAAATTTATATATTCCCCCTTTGGCTTTAGCACGCTGAAGATAACATTCAACCGGATTCAGATTTTGATTTCAATTTAAGTAATTTTTATCCAGCAAATATTTGTAGCTTTTTTGTGGTAGACAATTGTGGAAGAAAATAATCGTTCTTCAATAAAGGAAAATGATGTGTGATGTTGTATATATAGTTTATATGACATACTCTATGTACAACAGTTTGTAGCACATATTGTACTTACTGTTTTTGTATACATGCACAACGTTTTGTATGTTTTATAAACGTGTGGTTTGTGTGCGTGTGTGTACGCTGTAATAGCATATCATACGCATGTTTGTAATGTACACTTTCCATATGCACATCACGCCAGAAAGCCTACCATGACGATGTTGTACGCACAAACTCCGAGAAATGAATAATCATGACATGTCCATGAATAATCATGACATGTTCTTTTGAATTTCAAATAAAAATTTCGCTTCGGTTCTTTTTGTGCTTGTTGTTATTACTATTAATATACATTTTGTTTTTATGATTGAATGTTTTTATTTTGTTGTTTTTAATAGATTTTTAACAATAAAAATAATTTCTCAGTAGCAAAGTATTATTGTAACTCTTGTTATTGTTGAAATAAGAAATTTTTTTAAGATGTTTAATTTTTAAGAAAGTTGTTCTTTCTAATGAATTCGCAGAAAGGCTCGCAGTTTTGTTAGAATTTCAAAGAAATTCTTTCATATTATAACCAGACAAACGCGAATGAAGGTGTACAACAACAAAGCAACTCCAGCAAATCAAAAACAGACATTGCATCCAACCAAGTGTGTGTCGAGCAGATAAAACTAGATAGACACACGTAAACACAAACACTCAGACATCAGATGTATCAACACAAGCATATGGCGTACTATATATATATTACTAACGTAAACATTTTGTGCGTGCAATCAACTGAATACAACAAACTGCCAAACATACTGAAATATCAATATAAATGATATCAATATCAATAATATCCTCTCACGTCCATAAGTGCAAACACAACAATGCAAACAAATGCGTACAATATATCATTTAGAACACACACACACACACACACACACACACACACATACAAACACACACACACACACAGAGTTGTGTGGTTAATTATGCACACACCATATAGTTAACCTACTACTGATTTTATTTACAAATTCAAAGGCAACCACAAAAACACACAAAAACAAACCAAAACACACAAACAAACCAACACACACAAACAAACCAACACGCTCATACACACACAGATAAACACAGAAGGAAGCACATGGAGCATATTATGAACAGCAGTGTATCGCTTTAGTAGGAAGCAGGCATGCATTATCATGGAAAACAATCATCTAATGATGCACACATGTATGTCCGTATGTACGTACACACATGAACGTACATTTCACGCATGTATATACAACATATATGATGTTTGTATTGTATGCACTTTTATGTATGTATTTATCTGCTAATTTTATCATGTACCATGAACTTCCTAGAAATGCATAAAAGTTTAGATACAATACTTTATACATACAATAAAATACATATATACTTTTATACACACAATGTTTATGTACCTCATTATGTATATTACATACATCTAATTCAGATAAGTGGTTAAGCGAACCTAATATAAATACATTTTCGATTTGTGAAACACGCATACTATACTGCAGACATCTGAATACGTACGTGTTTGTTATATGCACATTTTATGTCTATATAAAATGTATGTAGTTGTGTTTATAGGTATATATATATATGTGTGTGTGTGTGTGTGTGTGTGTGTGTGTGTGCGTGCCCGCGCGTGTAATATATGTGTTTAATTTAGTACAGGGTTGGAACTTCATTATTGATGATTTGGTTACTGGAAGTCTGCGCGCGTTTGTCAGTCTCTGCCTGCTCAATTTTATGTGTGCTTTGTGTGTTGTGTCTGTCTGTGTGTGTGTGTGTGTGTGTGTGTGTAAGTGTGTGTACTGTGTGCTTTTTAATATATTTGTTTGTACACCCATAAAAACGTTATCAAGAATTATTAAAATTGTATAGTGCCAATTTCCAATTCCAAATACAGCAATGTTGACTGTTACATTTTACGGCCTGACTGAAGCATGGATGTTGCTAATTCTTTGTTTTAAATCCAGTTATTCTTTACTCATTGTCATCATCATCATCATTATTATTATTATTTTATAGCTTCAAATGGAAATTATTTGTACAAAAACTTCATTGCATGCAAGCAGATTGTTGAGAATGGTAGGTAGAGAGGATGATTTGTGTTGGCATTTAATATGGGCTAATGTGCTTCATATCTCATGCCTCTACGCTGCTCTGCTGACTACATTGAAGAACAAATCCGCCGTGATTAATATCCGCGTATCGATTACGCCGTATTCATGTTTTTTTTGCATGAGCACACACACACGTACACGCACGTACATTCACACCAATACACACTTACACACACATACGTACACGGATATACCCCATTTAGTCATGAAATACACTCACGCACACGCATACACACTCAAATAAACACACGCATTGTATTCAGAATTACGTTAATTTAGTTTTGCTATAGACAGACACCTTTATATAAGACATCTCTTTAAATCTTTGTTCATTTGTTAGCCTTTTAGATTAACAATGCATTGTAGCAAACGCATGTGAGAATGTCTTGCACTAATAGCAAGAGTATTTAAAAATACTTCCATTCTCATGCATCTTAGAGTTTTTAAGCAGCCAATGAAAGAATAAAACGTAAGAAAACTATAAAAAGATATCACAACTCGTGGCAAGTAAGTCTTGCACCAAATTACAACCGCAAGTTCATACAATGAAATATAAACAAGCAGTGTAAATAAACATACAAACAAACAAACATACAAATGAACATACAAACAAACATACAACCAGACATACAACTAAACAAAAAATAGTCAAACAAACGCAGGAATAAAATATTATTACACGATGATCATCACACAAGTCACAGATCAATTTGAATATGTAAATAATTTGATGTGAACAAATGGACGTATGCCGATTGAAAAGTAAACAAGAAATCATCCTCCATGCATTCCAAATGTAGTGACATCATCATCCCTAGCGAACAGAAAGAAACAGCGTAAAAAAATCTCACCACAAATTGTAAGGAGGATAATTAATATAGGACGTTGAATTTCCAAAATTAAACTTGCTATGAAAAAATATTTAAAATGAAAAAGATGAAACAAGTAAAATAAATATTTCAGAAAAACTGACGACGATTAATCAAAAATAGCAGACCAGATTTTAGAACGTCTAGCAGCAAATGTTCTGGAGTTAATGGCAGAGCAAGGGAAACACATACATTAAAGAATATTATTACACCACCAACAACAGGCTGTAACTACAAATACCATCGTAACAACAAAAAATGCATAAAGACCGTTCGAAATTCAATAAATTGATGTTTAGAAACGTCGGAATTTAAAATGCTAAAATGTGCAATGATTCATTGACAACAACGA